CCAGTTCCCCAGCGCTGTTCCCATCCCCCCAATTCCCCAATCAAAATCTTTAAAAAAAAAAAAAAAGTGTGAGCTCTGAGCAACAGTTGTTCGATGCCAGGCCCGAGCTGAGCTGCCGCTAAGCTGCCAATAGGTAGCAGGATGGCTCAGCTAAAAAAATAAATAAATAAAATTTTTAAAAGAAGAAATAATTCTGCTGCAATGAGGAGGAAAAGTTGGAAAGATGCTGCCTGAGGGCAGAGGATTTCAGTTAATAGACTTGATTTTTTTTTTTTTTTTTTTTTAGGAACCCAGGCAGAAAGGGATGAGGACAGAGGAAATGCGGCCCCAGCGAATAGGACTGTGGCCTGGGCTGGGTTCTGGAAGCACGTGAGGGGGTGGTGGCGGCTCTGGGTTTATAAAGTGAAACACAGGGGCAGCTGAAAGCCATGAACGGCCACGGCTGGGAGCCTAAAAGGCCATCCCCACGAAGGCCCAGCAGAAACTAATTTGGGCCCCGGTTTTTCCCATCTGTAAAATGGGGGAGTTAGTAATGAGCTCACAGGCTTTGTGAGGATTCAATGAGATGACACCTATGAGGTGCCTATCTCAGCACCTGGTACTCAGTAGGCACTCATTACACATTAGCCATTATTGTTTCAAAGAAAAGGGGCTACAGCTGGGGTCGGTCAGAAGCAGGCAGATTGCAGGTGGAGCTGGGTGAAGCTCTGCTGCTCCCACGGGTAGTGCTGGGCCCCCTTCCCTGAAGGCACGAGGGAGTTGTTAAGGGGATCCCGCTGTTTTGCCAAGAAGGGAGAGATTTGAAGTTGACAGAAAGAAGAGGAGGGAGTCAGGGATGACCCTCAGTCATCTGATGACCATCACTGATCACAGAGTGGAGATGACAACGTAGACTCAGGAGCCCTGATACAGGAGGGGCTCAGGGGGCTTCTGGAGCTTAGGGAAGAAGCCCACACTGGAGACACGGCTGTGGGTGGCATCAGTGCCAAGGGAGAGGTGGAGACAAGAGTGGAAGAGTGTGGCGAGTGAGCAGCCCCCGGGTCAAGGGCAGAGCTCTGGAATACACTGATGTTTAAGGAGCAAGCAGAAGAGATGGGGGGACCATAGAGGGGTGACCAAGAGGAAAGGGTAGAGCAGCAGTGGGCAGCCACACGGAGATGAGGGGGCTGGCTCCAAAAATGGAGACACGTCAGACAACTGTGTGGTGGGTGCGTGGGTGGGAGGATGGATGGATGGATGGATGGAGGGAGGGACAGATGGTCATTGTTAAATGCTACATGTAAATTCCATGAAAGCAGGCCTGGCTTTGGCTATGTGGACGTCACTGATGAGCTCAGAGAAGTGTCAGGACACCATATGGCAGCTGTTTGGGAAATGACTAATGGGTGAGAGAGTGGAGACAGCAAGTGGAGACTGTTCTAGTGAGCAACTTGGCTGTGAGGGGCAGAGAAAAGTCAGAGGGTGTTTGGGAGGGAGAAGCAGCTAACAGAAGGTTTTCGTTGCATTTTAAGATGGAAAAGCCTTGAGGGTGTGGATGTGCTCATGGAGAGAAGTGAGGCGAGCGCTGAGGGCCCAAGAGAAGGAGGGGGCCCCTGATTAGGGGTGGTAGGAAAATGGGCATAGGCGGGAAGCGGGAAGGGAACGCCTAGAAGCAAACGAGTGCGGGGTGAGGAAAGGAGAAGAAAGACGACGCAAACTCATGGACCTCTAGGCAAATCCCCAGGGCTCTGCTTATAGACAAGGCC